CTAACCTCTCAAAATTTGAACCCATTTGGTGTGAAACTGAGATGGCACAAACCATTTGAAGTTTGTATGGGAATTACTATGGTAAAACCAAGATTTTTATTCTTGTCTATCTAATAATTCACCATATCGGTCTGCTTCAAAAGCTTTAAACTGTACTGGTAGGAAATTTTCCCAGCTACAACTTTGCTGAAAACCACTTTTTGATTAAATGCAAGAATTGAAAGTTATCAATGGTTCAATGCGCTGATGTCTTATGATCATGCTCAATCAACTGCTCAGCAGGCAACATTGGTGTTTCTGGGCGTTGAATAGGACACCAGAATCATGGCTACTATGTCACACTGCAATATACAGTGTTGCCTACAGAGCAGCTGCTTGATCATGTCATAAGTTTACCAATCTCTTAAATAATTAATAACTTTTTCCTGTCTCGTTTTACATAGAAACGCTCTTCGGCAAAGTTGTAGCTGAGAAAATTTTCTATAAGAATGGTTATCGAACTGTTTCGCAGCTCAATATGGAAAAAGACTAGAGGGCAATGAACAAAAAGTTGAGATTTCCCATAGTAATTTACATGTAAACTTCAAATGGCTTGTGCGAAGTCTGTTTCTAACCAAAAGACTTGTTACTTTGGGAGGCTAATCAGAATCCGATTTGAAACCATTTAAGCACTGTTGGGCGAAAAAGTCAATTTTTGCATCAGTCTAATGTCCACGTTTCATCCTTTTATTGGATTCTGAATCATCGTGTTTAAATCTTCGATTCAAACAGGCCCGATGTTTTCTGAATCATCTTGCCCTTTAAATGCTGCACAGTAGGCCTGGCCGTTTTGATATGTGTGACGCATCTTCGATGTGAAACATATATCAAATAGACAAGAAAAATTATGGAGGTATATCCATTCTTTTCCAGGATGCTTTCAAGAACTGGCTGTGTTGGTGTTAGATTAGATTAGATTAGATTAGATGCGTTGTAAAAATGAAGTTAGAAATGCTAGCTGCACATGTCGAACATTAAGTGTATAAATTCATTGGTGTTGATTCAAATGTTATGATTTACCTACTCTTTGCATATATATGGTAAACTATGATCCTCCTAATCTATCAATTATTTTAAAGAAAAACAAATTTCAACAACTGAGTGACAAGTTATTAACAAATGAGCAGTTGGTGTGTACAACTGTGCATGCCAAGCATGCTTCATAAAAGTTCAGAAAACGTTAGGGAATATCCGAGAACTTTAGGGAAACTCCGATAATTTTTGGAAAGTTAGGTAAATGGAAGTGCCGTATGCTTCAGGGCAATTTCAAGATTTGGGGCAACCTCAGAGATGATCATTGCAGTTCGATTAATTTCAGGAAAATAGCGGATGGTTTTGAGCGGTTCTCAAATTTTCACTAAATTTAGAGAAATTCAGACAAGTTCAGAACTATTTTGAGAACCTCAGAGAAGCTCAGGGAATTACAACTAAATTGTGTGTACCTGCAGTTATACATACTTTTATCACAATTATGGATGCTCTTGAAAAGGACGCATGGATTTAAGGTGAGCGGAGCGCGCACATCTAAAAAATCAGTGTGTAATAAGTTTTTAATTTACCATCACAGCACATACTAGTGTATACTAGTGAGCTTCATTTTAAAAAAGTGGTAAATTTCTTATAGGCCATCCTCAAGTTCGATTCAATACCCCAAAACATGAATCTATATCAAAAATGGTAAAGATTGACGAAGGCCTAGAGGTTGGCTAATGGAGTGAAGTTTGTATGGAGAGTTCGGTGAATTAAAGGGTGATACGGTCAAAATTTGGTCAAGGGAAAACGCGTGTAAATCGGTGAAATCGTTTATTTAAAAAATCAAATTAAATTTCTTTTTCAAGTTCAATTAGTATAAAATTCAGGAAAAATATTCAGTTAGGCTTCCGCTTTTCCAAATCCAAATTGCCGGGCCTTACGCTTGACCCCTGCCATCAGATTTTGTACAGCCACCTTGTCCACCTTCTTCGCCGCAGAAAGCCAGTTTGCCTTGAACTGCTGCTCGCCCTTAGCAGTTTTTTTGGTCTTCTTTATGTTCCGCTTGACAATAGCCCAGTATTTCTCAATTGGGCGGAGCTCTGGCGTGTTGGGAGGGTTCTTGTCCTTGGGAACCACCTGCACGTTGTTGGCGGCGCACCACTCCATGGCCTTTTTACCGTAATGGCAAGATGCCAAATCCGGCCAAAACAGTACGGAACAACCGTGTTTCTTCAGGAAAGGCAGCAGACGTTTATTCAAACACTCTTTCACGTAAATTTCTTGGTTGACAGTCCCGGAAGCTATGAAAATGCTGCTTTTCAAGGCACAGGTACAGATGGCTTGCCAAACCAGATATTTCTTTGCGAACTTTGACAGTTTCATGTGCTTGAAAACATCTGCTACCTTTCCCCTTCCTTTTGCCGTATAAAACTCCTGTCCCAGAAGCTGCTTGTAGTCGGCTTTGACGTAGGTTTCGTCGTCCATTACCACGCAGTCAAACTTCGTCAGCATCGTCGTGTACAGCCTCCGGGATCGCGCTTTGGCCGTCGTATTTTGTTTATCATCGCGATTTGGAGTCACTACCTTCTTGTAAGTCGATAGTCCGGCTCGTTTTTTGGCTCGATGCACGGTTGTAGACGATACACCCAGCTTATTTGCGGCATCTCGGAGAGAGAGGTTAGGGTTTCGCTTGAAACTACCGGCAACTCTCTTTGTCGTCTCAGCGGCTTCCGGTTTTCGATTTCCCCCCGATCCAGACTTCCTGGCTGTCGACAAACGTTCCCCAAACACTTTAATTACATTTGTAACGGTTGATTTGGCAACTTTTAGCGATTTTGGCAACTTTGCGTGCGAGTAGCTCGGATTTTCGCGATGCGCGAGCAAAATTTTGATACGCTGCTCTTCTTGCTTGGACGGCATTTTGACAACTGAAGAGTGAATTCCAAAATCAAAATAGGAGCAACATTCTACACACACACACCTTCAAAATGAGGGGTGTTCAGGTTTTTTAAATGCAAAATTGAAAGAAATACGTCAAGTTGATATTGACCAAATTTTGACCGTATCACCCTTTACTATGGTACAGGGTGATTCGGAATAACTGTCCCTTTTTAAAATGGTCATAACGATTGAACGCTTGCATGAATTTTTGATATCATTATATTCTAGATATTCTACATATATAATCTTCAACTAAGCATAGTTTATTCCAAATCTCTCTCCCTTTACCTTAATTATCAGCCACATTTGTCATGAAAATTAACCACAGCTGGCACGCACGCTTTAGTTCCAGCACTTTTTGAGTCCTGTTGATGCGTTTAAGCTCTGATATTGAACGAATTTTCCAAGCATGGTTCCTTTGTACCTCTATAATGATGCAAAAATAAATGTTACATTCTTTCGAAGAGATTTCAGTTTCTAAAATATAACACACGATTTTTTTAAAGATTTATGCCATTCTCCATTTTGACGTCAATGGTTGCTTGAAATCACAAACGAATGAAATTTCAAATCCTACTATCAATACAAGCTGATATTTGTACACACTTAAAACAAAAATACTTGAACATATACCCATTTTACCCATTGAGAATTGCATATTTGTGAAATCGGTGACAGTTATTCTGAATCACCCTGTAAATTATTGAGTTTCACTTACATTGCGCTAACTTTGGTTGTAATTGTCCAAACAGAAAAAAAAATGGTATGTGGTTGTCATACAATTATTAACAAGCTTGTTATGTTGTGATGAGATTAGTGCTGTTAAGACAATATTTTCATCTGTCAATATACCCTATTTTAGCATTTTTTTCGAATTTCAATCTTTCTTGATATGCTGTAAAACTGTGCCATAGTAACAACATATTAAACATTTTCATCATTTGGACCTTTAGAACCATAGTTAGGAGGATATAAGTGATTTTTAAAATTCTTCCATAGCAATTCCTATACAAATTTCAAACCATTTGCGTGACCTCTATAACCTTCACCAATCTTTACCATTATTTTCACAGGCTTATATTTTGAGGTTATGAATCGATCTGGAGGCTGCCCAATAAGAAATTCACATTTTTTTTCAAAATAAACCACCCTACTAAACACATTTAAAGTTTCACAGTTTATTTAGTTCACGTTACACCTGGTATTCAAATGTTATTATGTAACTATATACATTTGCTAAGATGACCGTAACCTTTGTGATATAATCGTCCAATGTTATTCTGCTTTCTTCAGCAACATCTAGGCCAACTTGCTGAATCCACCCACATGAAAAATAACAGATTTTCTCTTTCCTTAACCTTGCGTGTAACGCGCAAGCGTAACTCTATTGATATACGTCTGCACGTCCGGTGAGATTGACTCGAAATTTAGTGGTTTTCCATTCAAATTCGCAAAACCGTAGATTACGAACGAAATTTTTTCTCAGCCCGGAGTATACTCATAGACTGAGTGAAACTTCTCTCGATTTCCCTCATATTCGAAAAGTTTTTCCTCGAAAAACCGAGCTACATTTTATTAGTCTATGAGTAACCTACGTTTTTTTTTGCGAATTTGAGTGCATGAAACTCAAATTTGAGTTGGTTTAATCGACCGTGTGAACGGAACTGCGTTTGCTCCCTGCTACATTTATATATTTTCCCAACCATTTGAAGTGCGTGACTCAAATTCCTGTTTCAAAATTGAGAGTGAGAGTGAGAATGAAATTGTAAGCCTCTGCCTTTGCTTTTTTAATTAAACATTGGTTTGCTCATTCAGGGAATTATTGAAAGTGGTTAGGGATTACCGGTACCGCTATGGAGTTTGCTGTTGTCGAGTTGAATTTTTTTTTCGGTTTTGCCGATGCCAGAAACTCTTGAATCCGCTTTCTTCGTTTCGAACCCTATTCATTCAGCAAGGTAGTAGTAAGGCATCTCGCCATATCTCGAGGAATCCCGGGATCAGTATCACCCATGCGAGAAAGCGTTGGAGCCGGGCGACTGACCGCACGTTCTGACCGCCAGTCACGATCTAAGGTGCCCTCCGGTGTGCCACATTCGTTAGCAGAGTCGTTTTTGCTGCTTTTAATCACTAATTATTTTGTTTAGTTTGCTCTCCCATTCTTCCCGTTTACTACTGACAACGGGCTAACTAGTGACCTAGTAGTACTACTTGTTGTTGTATGTAATTAGTTGCGTCCTGCCCGAGCAGCCAGCTGGTCGTTAGTCAGCAATTGCACGTGAATCCCCGCACCGAGTGGGTGACATAGTGTGCGACATCACTCCCCAGCGATAACATTCCTCGTGTTTGCCGCACTATTGAATAGTTTTGCACGGATTTGTAGCGGCGCGCCGGTGGCCAAGGTCATCGGTAGATGTCAAGTGGCAGCGAGTGCAAATTTTCGAGATTGTTTGTGAAACATTCGATACCCGCAGTTTTGTTGCGAGTGTTTGGTGCTCGTCTGTTTGTGAACGTTTTGGGAACCTTGCAGCAAACGCCCGGGTTGCTGGTGTTTATTGGAAAGGAGACGTACGGTGTTTGGTTTATCCAGATTTGGGAATTGGAAAATTGATTGGCTTCAACGGTTTTCCTGAACAATAGAAGAAATGGCCGATAAGAAGGAGGGTGAAGAGGTAAGACGTTTGCGGACAATCACTGGTCATGACCATGTGCCATAGCCCATAGATGTTATTTACACCGCTAGATGGTGTTTATAATTGCTTCACTGTTGTTTTTCTGGTTTATCAATTGCCATGAGATAGTTATTTGTCTGCCATCCTTGTGCTTGATTATAGTGGTAGAAAGTGATGAAATCTTGTACGCAAAGTAAATAAGTAACTGACGTCATACTCATTCAGTAGTTAATCAACAGTTTTTGCTTTTCTCAGCCATGCCGTCGTTGTCATTCGCTATCAAAATAATGCGTTTGCGTTTTGAAAATCACATGATTGCGCATTGCAAAATATTCTCAACTTTACGGACGTACAGGAATGAGTTTAATTTATTTAGGTAATAAGCGAATTGTCGATGACATGCTATTGTGCTGAGTTCCAGGTGAAATAGCAAAAAAAAAAATGATTTCAGGCTAGACCTTCTCCGATTTGTGTAAACAATTGCATAGTTGTTTGTTATGGTCAACTATTCACATTTGAGCTAAAATTCGGTAATTTTGAATCTTGCAAAACAAAATTCAAAATGTCGTATTCCATATTTTTTTAACAAATCATAATTCGAAAACCTCATTTAGTCATGACGTCTAAGATAAAGATGTAGGAAAAATATTCACTTTTTAGTTAAAACACGGTGCTAAATTTTTAGTTGTTTCAGGTAAAAATCCAAAAAAGTTAAACAGTATCGACGTTTTCGAGTTTCGATTTTGTTTACTCCTTGCAAAATAAAAATGGCCGAATTTTAGCTCAAGTGTGAATGATTGACCATAACAAACAATTATGCAAAATTCCACGCAGATCGGATAAAGTCGCGTCAGATCGATTCGTAATTTGGCGTGGAACTGCTCTATTCCGCTTTAAATGCCGTGTTGCGATGAATTGCATCTAGGATTGCCGTGAAAATATGCAGTAATGCTGATTGTTAGCAAGTAGGGGAACTAGGGGCAAGAGTGCCACCCTCAATATATTTTGAAAATGAAATCATTTCAATTTTATCTCACGATGAACCTATGCACGGTATTCCTATGAAGCATTCTAAAAAGTTCTGTCCGAATCGATGTCGTAAAAAAAAAATTAAAAAAAGCATTTTGTGTTGATGCATTGAAAAGCTAGTTTTTTATAAGAATAAGGCATCATAAAATAAGGTTTTCGGAATTTCCAATTTATTTTTTTCACAATTTCTGCATTGAGACATCACTATTGATGGTTGTTTGATACATTAATAACAATAAATTATTAAATATTTTGTTTAATTAATCAAAAATTATATTCCTAAAAATAAACTTTATACGGGGCAAGAGTGCCACCCCTACATTTATGTATTAAATTGAACAAAAATGTTCAGAAATTAACACAATTGGGCATTTATGTTTCCAATATACATTGTTTTCGTGAAATTTTGGAAAACAAACTGTATAAAATAGTATCAAAAATAGTTTCCATTTGAATCTATGACGCACATGGTTTATATGTTTTAGATATAAAAAATATATATCGTTAAGTCAATATTTTAGTGAAATAAACAATAAAAGCAGTTGCTGTCATACCTAAGAATAGTAATTTGTTTTTCAAATAACAGACTGTAGTGGTAATGTTTATACGATAGATGGAGTAGATGAAAGCATAGAGTTGATAGTTCCGTTAGAGTACGGCAGTGTGAAGATTGTATATAGACAGGAGCACATATCGTGGTAGGGGTAAACAATAGTTGCAATTTCCAAACCTACGACTGGATGCCTTCCTTCAAATAACAACTGAAGTGCGGTAAAAAATCGGTAGAACTGTTTCAAACACACAGTTGGTACATGAGCGGGTCGGTCTTCATCTCTTTTTGCCAGTGGTGGCGGGGGGACACACCCCTCACCATCCCTCTCCAAAGGGGGAGTTTGGTAAAGAGAGATGAAAAAACCGATTTGTACCTTCCTTAAAAGTTGTCCTAGCTCGCTTGTCTAATATCTATATACAATCTTCACACTGCCGTACTCTAACGGAACTATCAACTCTATGCTTTCATCTACTCCATCTATCGTATAAAAATTACCACTACAGTCTGTTATTTGAAATTAGCATCTTCAACTATGTAAATCGTTGACTTCACGTAGAAGTAATACTAAAAACATATAGTCAAAGTAATTTGTTGTTTAGAAATGAACATTTATCAGTTTCACTTCATTTTAGACATATGGTCTTTTTGCCCCATAAGAGTGGCCCTCTTGCCCCGTAGCATTTTTTAGAGCAGGTTCGGCATGACATTTTGAAAAAATCATTAACATTTTTTGATGGGGTTTAATTTTAATTTCAATGATGATACATGGAGACAAGGTTATAAACTTACAATTCGATTCACAAACTCCTATAAATATTCACGGAATGACATATAAAAACGCGCTATGGTTAGCGTGACCTTCTTGCCCCTAGTTCCCCTACATAAAGTATATGGTTGTACATTTTATCAGCTGAGACTTCTTTTACCTATTTGAAGGTTGAAGCTTAATGTTACGAAGCGTTAAAATTGTTTTACCCACGAGGTATGTCGTGCTTCATTATTTAGTGATCACTGTTTATTTATGAAGTATTGCACATCGATTGTTTCAATTCAATGATCTAAGGGGATGTCAGGAGCAGGTATTTTTTTGCAACTCAGCGGAAGCTTATTTACTTCGAAATTTTCATAACGTTTGAACAACTCCCGAGGACGATGTAACTTGATACCTTTGCACAACCAGTGTACAGTGGGACGACCCCATACAAAAACCGGTCGCAATGATTTTTTTTTGTATAAAATTTTAACCAACATAATTGTTAAGTAATTTGATACATTTTTCGATCAAAATGATATATTAAAAAATCAAATATTTTAGATTGGTTATACAAATATACAAACATCATGTAAAGTTTAAAATAATACTGGTATCTATTTCTGAGTTGTTGTTTAGATTTGTTTATTTATTTAGATGGATGTCCACATCAACAGACCATTTTGGTCCTATTGATGTTTTACTTAAGACTAACATTCATAAGTTAAGTGGTAAAAGAAAAACAAACTAAACACTCACTGGACACTAATAATAATAATAATAATAATAATAATAATAATAATAATAATAATAATAATAATAATAATAATAATAATAATAATAAAAGAAGATCTTAGAGTTTTCCTCAATTCCTCGTCGCTTCAGAAAAGACCTCAGTAAATCGGCGGCGTAGCGTAAGGCAAGGGATATCATAGTCGAATACCGAGGCGACTCTATTGAAGGTCCTTTGAAAGCCATCGATAGCGGTATGCATTCATAATTTGTTCGTAACTGGGCAGATGATAAGGATCACGCAAAGGTAGCCTACGCAAGGCAAATCTTACGAACCTTCGTTGTACAGATTCGATCCTTTCCGAGCCATTGAGGTATACTGGATTCCACACTGCACAACTGATCTCTAAAATCGGGCGCACTAAAGAGCAGTACAGCGATTTTAAACAGTATACGTCGGTGAAGTTCTTAGCATATGCGTATGATGAAGCACATTGTTTTTGATGCTTTATCAACGATGTACGATACGTGTTGCTTGAAGGTAATTTGGGTATCCAGTATACTCCAAGATCCTTAACATGACTGACGCGTTCGATTTCCGCTTCCGAGAGGGTATATTTGTAATTAATTGGTTGCTTTTTCCATGAGAATGAAATCACTGAGCATTTACTTGGGTTGACTACCATTCGATTTAGTTTGCACTATCCGGTAAAGCAGTTTAGTTGATTTAGCAAGAAAAGAGCATCGCCAATTGAGCGGATCCGATAAAAAATCTTTAGAGCATCGGCTAATGATAGGCGAGGCCCTTTCAGCACTAGGTTCACGTCGTTGAAGTACAACAAAAATAACAGCGGGCCGAGGTGACTACCTTGTGGAATTCCTGACGTTGCCTTGAAAACGTCCGATTGGCAGTCGCCGATAGTGACATTCATCCAGCGGTCGTTTAGATAGGAGTTGAACCATCCCAGAAGTGAGCCATTAACTTCTAGTCTCTGTAGCTTTGCAATAGTGATACCATGGTTAATCTTGTCGAATGCTGCCGATAGATCAGTATAGATAACGTCTGTTTGAGTCCGTTCTGCCATGCTCGTAGTGATGTGCGACGTAAGACACAGCAAGTTCGTAGTAGTTGAACGGCCGGGTACGAAACCATGTTGGTCATCGCTCAAATACTGTTTATCAATGAGCAAATAAGGCTCCATTACGACCAACTCAAACAATTTCGAAACAGCACACAGAGAAGTGATGCCACGGTAGTTATCGATATTGTGCCTACTGCCTTTTTGGCGTAGGAATACGTCTGTGATTTCTATATGGGGGTACACTTTGTGAAAACCGAAAATGGAACATGTAACATAATAATGAAAGATTTTGAACGTTAATAACTCAGCTGCCCCTGGGCCAATTTCAATAATTTTACAACCAATCGATCAGAAATATTCCTACGCATCTGTTAAAATTAGGACGTTTCCATTTTTCAGATTGTCACTATTGAAATTTGAACGAATGCGCAACTGTTGCTATGATAATTAAAATTATCACCGATTGCCTGCGAAAAGCGATTTCTCTAACACAGATTTCTAAGTTGAATTCAATCCGATCTCACCATACGGTGTTTATTCAATCACTGCGTGGTGAGTGGTAGTGTTCTCCAGTACACCATGAAAGGCTGGCTGCAAGCAGCGAGCTGCAGCCCACATGAGCAACCATAGAAGGAGGAAGACGCCAGTAGCTTTTCGTGAGTCGCTGTGGGCCATGTATGCCATCTTTAGCACGTCTACTAAAGAGGATAAACAGCGAGAATCCCCAACAAACAATTTTAGCTGCAGATTAGCTTATACAGTCAAAATTTGCCTTATGCAGCTAATTTTTTGCCTGTATAAGCTAAGCTGCAGCTAAAATTGTTTGTTGGGCCCCGCTCAAATTCCTATTCCT